ATTCTGATAATTTCATTGATAGAGATGAGAATAAAGTGAAAGTTCAACTCAAGCTGAGATATTTATTACTATTATTAGAGACAATTATAAGAAGAAATAATCAAGAAACTCATAATTATAAAATATGAAATTATCAGACAGTTTAATATCTCTGATCACAGTATATCAGAGAAGTATAGTTTTTATAAGAAAGTGAAGAATAAACTTATATAAGAATATATTTAGTTATTTCATAAGTATTATTAATAATTGTTATCAAATTCTAATTATATAAGTAATCACTGAATGAACTGAATGAGACTGAATTTAATCTTCAGTCTCAGTCTTATTATGATTTTGAAAGAATGATTATCTTTTATAGTTTATTCTAAGAAATTACTCTCATTTCACTGTTCTTGTATTAAATCTGGTCATTTTTCACATTATTTCTCTCAGAAATGATTCATTTTCAGATTTTTTTGATACTTGATCCTGGTGAGACTCACATCAAGAAATGTATGAGACCAGACCAAATGGGACCAAATGTGAAATTCATGGTCCCGCCGGCTAGTCTAAGTTTAGCCCGTTGATCAGTGTTCTACACTTTTCATATATTATAAAAAAAATAGTGAATACAATTAAGAATTAGAAACAGTGCATGTGAGAGAATTAAGTTCATTGAATTGATACTAGAGTTCTACTATCTGCATCACTTGCTAATAAATAGTATAAACTTGAAGTTCTCAATTGTGGAGCTTGAGATTAGTGTTTTTGTAAATACTTGGGGTTTTTATGAGCTCTTAGATTGTGGATTTACAGATACAGATACAAATCTGCTTATAAACACTTCGAGTTATAACTTTATAGATGGTCGAGCTCTAATAGGAAGTAGTGGAAATAAGTCAAAATTTGGATATGTTTTTCAACTCCGAATATATGAAAATGGAATGTAGAAAATTAACCCTTTCCTGAGAGATAAAAATTCGTAAAAAGTCATGAATAAGCCTCCTGAGTACTGCTTGAGAGGCTCGTGTGGCACTTAGACGCAACATCGTTCATTGTAGCAAGGCAGCCCAATATTATTACTCTGGGCGGACCCGAATAGCCGATAAAACGAATAAAACATAACATGTTGGGATTCATCGTGATGGGCAAAATATTTCTGTTTCCTGATGGCTGCGTTTGGGGGGCGGGGCGGGGGGGGGGAAGAAAAGAATCCAGAGATTTGAAAAGTTGAGGAATGTTCATCACTCGAGCCACTTCGCGGTGACGCTACCGTATTTCTCTCCTGTTCAAGTTGACCCCGTTAGTGTCCGAATTAACCCATTCTAATAGTTGTTTTTTCCTCGTCTTGTAAGACATTAAAGCAAATCAAATTTCCCATTTTCTTTTTTTGCTGTTGTTGTTGTTGGACCCGATATACGTACCTTGACAGACCAGTTCAAATCTCATCTCTGCGGAAAAATAAGTGACGCCAATCGAATACTCGACCTCGTAGTAGTCCTCGCCGTGGTTTCCCTGCTTACGCTTGAATTTCGAGCGCGGGATCGAGGAAAGGTTGTAGTTTAAGACGCAATGTTCGCGGCAGTCTAGATGAACGTTAATTTAGCAAGGGAACAGCCACAGGCATTTAGTGGGTCAGAAACACGAGACGACGGTTTGCGGGTAAGAAGGGAAAGAAGTAAAGGGTTGGGCCTGGTTCACCTTGATTCAAGTAGACCGGTGCGCTCGATCCATCTAGCGGAGAATAGTATATCGAGCTCGAGAATACCAGGGGATCATCGAGAGGGACGGCGCGGTACAGAGGGAAGGATTTTGGGGTGTTTTCTTGGACTTTGTCGCCCTGTTTTGTTTGATGTTATTATCAATGCCTAACATGACGTTATAGCATGCTCCAATATATAGATGACTCTCGCAAACACAAAAAGAAGGAAAAGGAGAAAGGAAAAGGGGTTCGCCGCGTGGGAGAGAAGATGGGGATCGGAGGAGAGGACACAACGTACCCGTTTGATACACCACTGCATGCACTCGGAATGCTTATAAAGGCCCTCGTACTTGTCCCAAACTCTGTAACGGGGTTCATATTAACAGTGAAATAACATGGCGGTTGAGTGAAAACAATTGCACAGGAAGAAAGGGATTCACCGTACTTTTTGTCCGTTGGCATACCCTGCTTCCATGGCATCCACAGTACCAACCCATAATTACCACGACAAGTATCGCGATCTGACATTCCAGGTTGGCGTAGCAGAGAGTTGTGATTTGCCTTTCATAACGGCCCCACGGACAATTGCAGTCCATCTTCATGGGGCAAAAAAGTCAGAATACATGTGAGAGAGGGAGAGAGTTGAAGAATAGTCAATATAATATACAGACCCATTAGGCGGCTGTAGAATTGGAATAGGTGAAACAGCCTGTTTGATTTGGCGGTAGAGATAAGTACTTTCCCCAAAGCCGCCAACAAGGATAACTGCGCTGATGGGACCCTGTTTGGACGCTGCTTTGATTTGATCGTTTAGCAATGCAAGTACTTCTTCTATCACCGGCCGGAATACATCTTTCATTTCGGTGTAGGTCATCTCCAAGAATCCAGCACAGATTCCGACGCTGGGATCGTCTTCGACTCCGGGAACTGGATGTATTGAATTCCGAGGTTAGGTGGTGCTACATGATACAATGGAGAAAAGTAGCTAGTGCGCTAGGCTAGCAACTTACTGGGAATCTGGAATTCAATATCTTCTTCATCTTCGTCTTCATCCTCTGTTCCAAAATTGCGTTTTGTCTGTGTGTTTCGTTAGACGGCTGCTGCGGTTCTGAATCGGTGCTCTCGCGAACACTTGCCTCCTTTTCAAAATGGCTCATTGCCTGAAAGCGGAAAAGAGTCAGTGAACGGTGTATGAGTTAAGGAGATATGAATAGAAAACTATCTCTCACCATCGCCTTCGCATTTTTGGAGATAGGCTTTCCGTTGAGTTTTCTCATTAGGACCTCCTCGAACTTCCGGTTCAGAAATGTACTCCCGCACTGGCTACCTCCGCCAATAGCAGTCTCCTCCACCTCATATGGGTAATCCACAGATTTCATCTTGTACGTAATCAAGTCCACAGTCCCTCCACCAGCATCACAGATTACCACGCTCTCCCCAACCTTGATGTGGTGTGGATCTAGCGCTTTAAGTGCATAAACAGCAGCCGCCTCGGGCTCCGACGTCATCTGAAGAGATGTGGTGTCGCCCATACCGGCTCTCATCGCAGCAGTTCGCGTCTTCTTCTTGGCAAGATCGGACCAGACAGCAGGGACAGTGATGATCCAATCCAGCTGGCAATCCTTCATCACGGCTGAGCCGTAGAGTTTCTCCAAGTGAGCGACGGCATGCCTGCGCAGACCTGTCAGGTATGCGGTTACGATATCTTCTGTAGTGCGCTGATATTCAGGGGGAGACACGAAGAGGTCCTTTAGTGTCCTTGAGAGTTGAGTCAATCTGCCGACTCGGGAATTGTCTGGATCCAGGTCCAGTTTGAACCAGATATGTCTCTCCTGTCCATGTTTGATCTGGAAACCCCATTTGAATTGTTCGTTTCCTGGGCCGTCGAAGCGGATTTCACTGTGGAAAAGAGTAAATTAGTCGGTCATGCTTGAAATTCAACCTACTGTGAGGTCGAGGGTTTTCATATATTTCCCTTACGTTGGAACTTTTTGACTGCTTACTCCTCGACCCCAGTCGGTGATAGGGATAGCAGCGTCGGTTCGCTAGTTTTAACAAGAAAATAGCGGACTGCTATTAGCCTCAACCCTGCTGAAACCCTGCGAGAACTTGCCCCTCTCCCCCCCCGCAAAAGTCGAGATATTCACGACATACCTGGGACGGGTCACTGAACGCAAGGCCAGAATACGTCGTCCCGAAGTCGACGGCTATCATAATACTTGTAAGCATTTTGGTAGGAACAATTTCTTGATCTCTGCTTTCCAGCAAAATAAAGCTACAAATTGCTCTCCTGGTGTCTGGCACGAATGTGGAAACGATCGATATTTGGGGAAGACCGACGTCCTCGGCCACAGCACGAGCGCAGGCGAATTTATATATGTACGCACATTACATGTATGTACTAGAACCCCGCGTACACAGGTTTGGGTGGAACGCCGAAGAGGCTCTGCTTGGTGGGTGCTGGTTGAGTGTCAATCAATATTAATGGCCCAGCTCAGACGGGAATCGTCACAACCCTGATCGGACCAGCGCATGTTCGTATTTATCGCGCTCTATTGGTGGTGGCCTGCTCGGTAGCAAGGATCCATGCTCTAGACCGTGCTATCTATGGCCGGCAGTGCACGCCAGTCGTCCCGTTGTTGTTGAACGCCCTGGAGAACAAAGTGCTCATATTTTAGTGCTGCCGTGACCTGCCACGTCTGTCAGCCTTGTCCCAAGGAGAGCGGGCTGGCTTGACTCCTCAATGAGCTCATGGGAAATGTTCGTGTCTTCCTATAAGGCGAAAGGGTCCAGTGTATCTACACCCGTAGAGATCGTTTTCTTTCATAGTACAGGACATACATGACATTCTACGAGATAATAATACGCTTTGCCAACCTTCAAACATGAACTCGAGGGGAGATGCGTCGACGTTGTCGACAGCTCGGAAAATTGAGGAGCTGGATCATTTGATCGAAGTCGATGAACTACAGCAAGATTTCGCCGCGCTTGAGAATATCCCAGACGAAGAAAGGTCAATATTATTTTTCCTCCATGAACTGGAACGTGCAAATCAAGGTCTCCTTGTCCATCCCAATCTAACCATGTCATCAGCATGAGAAGCAAAGTTGGCACTGCAGAAGCGATATTGGATTCGCAAACAACGACTACAGCACCCCGCCGCCTGGGAAAAGACCGGCCCCGTTCAAAAAGTGCTACAGGAATACGCCCAGACGTCGGAAACCAGAGCCCTGTTCGTAATGTCCATGTTCAAGAACCGAGCGCCACTCGGCCACCTGTGCCTCCCCACAGGTCAGCAGCCGGGAAAGACAACGCCTTTATTCCAAAATCCCATGCGGAAAAAGAACCTCCCAGATACGTCTATAGAGGTGCGCTCGACGATTCCCCCGAGATGGAACTTACCCACCAGGTACACCGCGGTATCACGCAGGCCGGGATGGGGGCGTCGTATGCTGAAAGAGCTAGGAGAGCTGTTGCCCCTGAGATAGATATCGAAGGCATGTATCAGGAGCTTATGTACTACCGTCGCGCTACACAACATGCATTCCGGGAATCCGAGTATTATAAAAGGGTTGCTGGCTCGCTCCATAAAGAGCTGGAGGACTGTAAGAAAGATCTATGGGAGGCGCAGGACGAGAAGAAGGCGCTGGGACAGCAAATCCTAGACCTAGGAACGGTAGCGGAAGGGGTGACGGACGAAGTCCTGCGAAGAATCTTCCAAAATACCATCGGATCCGCGGTAGAAGCTCACTCCAAGGTTTTTGGCAAACCCACAGGTGACGATGCTGAGCGTTTGGGGAGACTTCTCAGCCCGGAATGTACTAAGTTGCTACAGCAGTTTGGTAGAAAGTACTACCACAGCTTGCTTGCCAGTGCACTCTTCAAAGAAACTGCTGATGCAGTCGGGAAGAAATACGTGGTGGGAGCAACATCGGGAATTTTAAGGCTCACCAGAGAACTTGGCGTGGACCTTGATCCCCGTAGTTCATTGACGTTTTTACAGGTGTTAGAGGAAATTCTCCATTTACCATCGATGGGTGAGCTGTCTCCACTATCAGTAATTATACATAAGGCCGAGGAGAGCAACTGGGTGCTAACTAAACGGACGCTGTTGATCAGGGGTACCACAGCGGGAAATTAACGTGTGGAGATCCAGCTTCGTGAAGCTTCTCCAATACCTACCCGAAGTCAAGGAACTAGCAAATTCTTCCGGGGCCAAAGCGAGCGCAGAATCAGAGCTTTTGGAACTCGTCGATGAGGTATGGGCGAAACTGGAACCGCACATCCCCCTAGGAGACAAGGGCCGTCGCGGTCTGCAGAAGCTATTAAAGCTCCAGGCAAACCTTCGCGTGAAAACTAGCCTGTCCCTCGCGTCCTACGAGCTCAAGTTCCACGAACCGGGCACGCAGTTCAACGTTTCGACCATGAGAATTGTCGATATTACGGAGGGGGAGTGCGAGGACGACGAACTTCACAGACTCGACAGTGAGAGTTGCGGTCGAAAACTCGTTGTCGGGTATTGTTTTTTTCCGGCTCTTTATAAATGGGGCAATGATCGTGGATTTGATAATGAGAAGGGCCATGTCGTCGCGCGCGCTACTGTCTTGCCTGTCTATGAAGATGACCCCTTTTTACAGCAGCAGATATTCGATGGTAAGTGTGCATGAGGCATGTGTCAGCATCGTTGCCCCTTTTTTTCCCCGCTCAATATCATTGGTTTTACTTTCTTCTCTTTTCATTTCGGTTGAACTGGCAAAAATTGCGTGATATCCTTGCGGGCGAACTTCCGACCCAAATTTTCGGCATAGGTTTCTGACTTGCATTTTCTCCTCCCTTGTTCCTCATCAGACGCCAACCAACCACCAAAACTCGACGACATCCCGATGGCAAATTCTCAATCTTGAAGCGTCAACGAAATTCTTAAAATCTAGTCCACGCCCATTAGCGGATAATTCGAGTCTATAAGCACGGCTACATATAAGAAAAACAAACCGGTTATCGTCGAATTAATATTTCTTTTAGTTGCGATCATTGCAGTTCATTACATCCCCCCCAACTTTTTTTTTTCCCCATCTAGTGTAGTCTGGGTTTGGGTTGTGGCGAGGGGCGACGAGACGAGGAGAGAGAGGGGGCTGCCCGACCACACAATTGACACTTGACACTTCAACTGTGCGTGTAGTTATATATATATGTGAGATAATAGTTAGGAGGATGTTGAAGAGGGTTGTTGAACTATTTTCATGGGCTCTGGCAATGGGATAGTTATATGGGAAATAGAGTTATAGCATCGAAGGGGGGAAGTGCTTCCCCATTGTTCATTGGCAGGTCAATAAATGTGGAAATTCCAGGAAGAGTTTCTTTTTAAGAGGATACTGTATACAACGCCCTTTTTTCACTATTAATTGAAGAAGACACTGCATTGACATGTAGAGAACCTCCTACCTAAACGAGTATCGCTTGATCGCGCCAGCCCTAGATATAACTATCTACCATTGCACCCAGTAGCTCTACGAGAGTCGTATGCCTATTATAGCATGCAACCGATTCATTCCACCGGGAACGAGCATGATACGGTATGGAGTGCGATGAGAGCCACTCCAAGTTCATAGTTGAAATACATTTAAGATTCGGCTTTCTTTAATCATTCTGCATATAATAAAACCATCATGTTCTGTGGGTTACTTCATTTTTTAATACTCTTGGTTTCCACCGTTTCTTCCGACGAATCCATTGCACCCCAGTTTTCCAACCCCGGATCGCCCTTATCGAAATTTCCGAGAAATAGAGCTCTAACAGATCAAATGGAAAACGAAAGGGAAAAGAAGAATCCATGTCATATCACATTGGTCGGAGTAATAAAAAGGAATAAAAAAACATATAAAGTAACAAGAGAAATGAAAAATGAAAAAAAAAGGAAAAAAAAAAGAGGCAACGAGGATCGAAAAAATTTGATAGGAAAGTGGGTGTGGCTGTACACATTACAGGAGAGGGAATACATCATAGACGCAATTAAAGTATAACGGACACAGAAAGAAAAGGAAAGAGGAAAGAAATGTAAAATAGAACAGCAACGTAACAAGATATTGCAAAGGTGCAAAAAGGAGACAAAGGGAATTGTAACAAAACGAATAAAAGGGAGCTCGTAGAACATTCAAATGACAGGACTGGACATATGTATTAACAATGGTCCACAGTAAAGCCACAACAGACGGTGGAAATTGTATCAAGGGAGAAGGCGAGAGGCAGGAGATGTCGGGAATATGGATGCTGATTGCAGTGAGTGGTCTAGAAGAAGAGGTATGCCAAGAGGAAACTGAGGAAACAAAGACCAGCAACAACTCGCAATGGGACGCCAATTTCCGCCGGCTGAGGGGGGTGCTGCTGTAGCCCAGAAGATGTCGATCCTGGTGCGGTGCTGCTGATTTTTCGTTGTCCTAGACCCTGATCTGCAAGCTGATCTCTCAATTTTTCGATTTGTGCTCTGGCTTCCGCAAGTTTGGACCTCAGCTCTTCACTTGCGGTATCTTCTTTTGGTGGTACGGCGGCGAGAGGGGAATGCCTCGATTCGGCTTTTGGGGCATCCGATGACGTCGCATCTGGTAGAGCAGCTCGGACTGCTGTTGGTGTATCAAATTTAGAGGCATTGGGGGAGGTGTACGCCGGGGGTTCTTCCTCAGGAGAAGCCTGCACAAGCAATCTATGTAAACGTGGATCCTCTCCGAGGCCAGTGGGGATAAGATACCGACAACTGGGACATACAATTCCATTAATTTCCGCGGTTGCGGTTTCCGCAGAGTCCTGGGGGAGGCAAAAATTCGACTTTTATTTTCTGTTCCTGAATAGAGCTTTTTGATGTCTGCTCAACGTGCTGCCACTGTAGCTATGGTTAGTACGTGCCTGACGGGCATAGTGGATTGCACAATGGGACGTACGATCGAGCTGACATTGGAGAAATCCTTGTCCGTGGACACTGCGACAGACTGGACCAAAAACTTGTCTTTAGACGTGCCCACTGACCTGTCATCCTTCATCGCCTGAAGAAGAACTGTTGTTGTCGTAAGTTTCTGAGTGAAATACCTCAGTATTGCGAAGGATGGGAATGCTGACTGACCTTGAACATCTATGCTCTCGCCCGCTCCAATGCGGCCAGAGTTCGGGCGCACGCAATAGCTGAATGGCAAAGGGTCAGGACGTCGAATGTATTAAAACATCGAAAGGAAGGGGCTGGCGAACCTTTTGGGAGCTGTTGTCTTGACCTACATACATCATGTGGTGAGTTTGTAGCTCAAATTGGATGAGTTGTCCTCCCAGCGAAGCGCAACCATACATACCTTGAATGCAACCGGCTCATCGTTGTTGTTTTCTATAGTGAGGGTTTGGCTGACTTCCCGAGTAAACGGCCCTGTAGATATATATACGTCAACGGGCATGTTAACTCTGTGATAGAGGGATTGGATTGCACTCACGTTGAAAGCGGAGGAATTTCTGAGGTGGCTTCGCTGTGGGATCCTGGACGGCGCTGGGATCCTTCGTGCGGTCGTCTTCGGTGATCAGGTTCACTGACATTGTGTCAGGCGGAAAAGTCCAGGTATGAGAGCTAACACTAAGGATGTTCAGGCTGGGGGACGGGGGGCAGGCGTGAGAAGGGCGTTGATTATGATGATATCGCGAGCAGCCAGCACACAAGACAGCTCGGGGTGGAACAACATCAACACAGGGAAGCAAGGCCCGGGCTAGGCAAGGCGGCGATTGGTCAGCCGTCACGTGCATCACCCCTAGTTTAGAGATGCTGCAAACTGTAGGATGGTTAATCTTCTATCATTATCGGAGGAGCTAGCTACGTTATATTACATACGGTGCATATGTGTAGGCTACTGGGGCAAAAGAGCTCAATCACCACCAGCGCACTGCTGGTAGAAGGGCCGATCAACCACGGGACCCCCAACACCCCCCCTCGGACCAGCTACCACAGAGTACAGTACTCCTCTCAGTGGACTCAGTCCTAGGGCTCAAGGGACTTCTAGGGCACACTCCTAGGATGTCTCTTGGCACTGTTAAATGTCCAGGGTATTTGTTTGGAATTTTTAAGTCCATTCTGGGATTGAACCCATGCATGTTGATCACAGCAGGGCTCACACTTAATGATCTCATAACCTGTAGGCAAAAGAGCTCAATCACCACCAGCGCACTGCTGGTAGAAGGGCCGATCAACCGCGGGACCCCCAACAATATGTCTTGGAGGATAACGTTGTTGTGTGTAATCTAGCTACGCGAGGTACACTAGATAGGTTGGGGGATAACGTTGTTCTCCAAGAGGTTATGAAGCCCTCAATAAGCTACGAACAACCGCAAATAACGTGCCAACCACGTCTCCACCCCATGGTTAACTTGAGATCGGGTGGAACGCCGGATCTGACAAAGGAATATGTGCCAATAATGTGTAGAAGAAGAAATCCAGAAACACCAGAAGCACAACAAGAAACAACAGCAGGCGTGCCAACACCTGCAACAAATCAAAGAACAATTGCCCCAGGAGCTTTCAAGATGAATGACACAATTGTGAAAGAATAATGAGATAAGTTCAATAACAATTTTGAAGATTCAGTTGTAGACATTTACAAGAGATCAGATAATATGAATAGCTTCAATAACTATAATACAAATTCCTCAACTGCAGTTTTTATTGATATAAAAGGTGCATTTGATCATGTTTCAATGTCAAAAACAATTTAAACTTTGAAAAAGTTGAAATTTCCACTTTCTTTAATAAAATGAGTTGATTGACACACTCGCTACGGCCGCCGATCCACGTGATCGGCGATCGCAAGCTCCTATAAAAGTGTGGGATGGTTCATCTGTTGTATTCGTGTGAGAAGAGCTAGCTATATTTATTCATACCGGAAGAACGTAGGGTTATTACACGACCGGATTATGATTGTTTCATCATTTCAATCAGCAACACAGTCACTGAGCTGTAAATCATAGTATAATAATGAATAAATGATGAAATCACTGTAAATAAGTTATAAACTGAAAAAATCAATTATTATATTAATAATGTTACTGAATTCAATCTATATAATAACTAATTTTAAAAATTATCTTATTTATTAGTATTATTCTCTATTAAAAATTACAGATACTTCTATCTAAATTCTCTCAAATTAATCAAACTAAGTTTTTTTTATAGTTTTTATTTCTAGTTATATTACTCTTATTAATCATATCACTGAACTTATGAATTGAGATTTATAAATTAGTCATGATCTGAGAGACACTGTTATCAGTTATCTAATATTTAAGAGTTAAAATTTCAGAGTAATTAGATACTGAGTATTTAGAAGTCTATATAATTATTAATCTTTAAATATCTTAGTAATTAAATGATTAATACGGTTATCTGATAGTATCTTAATATGAGAAATTAAAATATATAAGTTTAAAACCTGCAGAGAATACATTAAATTCAGAACTTAAGTATCTCAGATTTCTAATAAATACAGAGATGTATAAATTACTTGAATAAAAATTACTCTATATTTCTAAGCTGAGAAGTTATTATTATATGTATTTAATTATCACTTCTTTATATTTTTCTATGTTTTTATTATCTTGATATAATCTTAATATCTGTATTTTTCTTCTGTATAATTAACACTTAATCTGTATTTAACATTATGTAAGAACTTATTGTAAGCTTCACTTGCATATAAGTATAATAAAAGAATAATATAGCAGGCTATGCTTAATTAATAAATTATTTCATTACACTTCATAGATTTCTGCTGAAAGCCTCTAATTCTCAATCACTGATTCTTGATTGAAGAACTTATAGAGTTGCTATTCATTTACTCTAAAGCTTTATGTTGTATATGTATAAATATCTGCTCTAATTGCTAATTCTCTGTAAGAGATCTACACTAAATAAATCAGTATAATATTTATAGATCTTGTAATACAAAAGTAAAAAATATTAAAGAAGGAAAAGAAAGAGAAAGTGTGAGAATCAGTAATCAGAGTGAATATTTATACATATATGTAATAATATACATAGTGAAGCTTTGAGATGAAAGAATAGAAATTTCATAGATTTTTCAGTAAAGAATCAGTGATTGAGAATGACTGAGAATCAGAGCTTTTAATAAAATCTATAAAGTGTAATAAAATAGTCTATATAATTGATCAAGTGTATTCTGTTATATTAGTCTCTTCTTTTCTGAAGTAAGATTGTGTGTAGTTCTTATCAGTTAAGAGCTGCAGTCTCAGATAATACAGAACTCAGAGTTCAGATCAGATAATTATAGCTGACTTATTTTACAAAATATTATTAATTACAGTTATGAAGTCTTTTATCAAGAATATCTTTAATCTCTTACTTAAGTTTATTATCTTCTGCTGTAAGAGGCCTACACTGAATAGATCAGTATGATATTTATAGATTCTATATAACAAAGTAAAAAATATTAGAGAAGGAAAAAAGAGAAAGTGTGAAAATCAGTAATCAGAGTAAATGTTTATACATGTACATAGTAAAGCTTTAAGACAGAAGAATAGAAATTCTGTGAGTTTTTCAGCTGAGAGTCAGTGACTGAGAATTGAAGCTTCGGAACAGAAGAATGAGAATCTATAAAGTGTAATGAAATAGTCTATATAATTAATCAGACACAGTCTGTCACATTAATTCTCTCTTTTCAGAAGTAGTTCTCACTAATCAAGAGCTGCTGTTTTGAATAACACAGAGCTCAGAGTTCAGGTCAGATAATTATAACTAACTCATTTTATAAGATATTATCAGTCATGACTGTAGAGTCTCTTATTAAAAATATCTTCAATCTCTTATTTAAGTTCATTATCTTCTTCTAAGATTTCTGACAGCTGTCAATTGAAAGTCAGTTGAGAAGAGAATAAATCAGTGATAGTGTGACAGAGTAAGCTTGTATAAAAGATATTATAAATTTCTGATAATATGTTAAGATAGTAGTTATAACTATCTAGAACTTCTATCACTTTATACTTGATATAGTGATAATTCAGTGTATAAGATGAGTATATGATTTATATATTCTTAAGATTCAATCACATCAGATCTTCTATCTTATATTATTCAGTAGAATCTCAGTAGATATTAGTTTGATCTTCTTAATCTTATTTAACACTTGTTATAAAGACTTCTGCTCAGTTGCAGATGTCTTAGAGCTTTATTACTATATTATCAGTGATCTGAATCAGACTGCAGAGATTCAGTGTAAACTGTGTAATCTCTAGAAAATTCAATACTTTTATGTGACAGGCTGCGTCTGATTAATTATATAGACTATTTCATTACACTTCACAAATTCCTACTGAGAGTCTGATTCTCAGTCACTGATTCTCTGCTGAAGCTTCAATTCTCAGTTGCTGATTCTCAGCTGAAAACTCATGAAATTTCTATTCTTCCGCCCCGAAGCTTCTGTGATTCAAAGGTTTCTTGAGCCAGCGTACAATTACAGGCGTACGCCGGCTTCTTATATACATTATCTAAATTAATTAGTGACTGCTAGAGCCTCTTTACATTTGTAAGTGTGTTCAGAAGCAGCTGTGTTATTATTCAGTGATTATACATTCTTTCAAATCACATTCTCTCTTATCAGATTCAGTCACACTCACATGATCATAATGTAATATGACTCATCACTCAATGAACTCATTCACTCAATGAACTTCAAAAAGCACTCTATAGAGCTGTTAATTTTCAACCATAGCACAACAATGTAATAAGATATTAATATTATTTATTAAAGATTAAAACTATATGCAGAATACATTATATAAATATATATGATTAATTCAGAGAATGGTTGCTTGGCCTAATAATTCACCTGGAACATGAAACTCATGATTTTGAAATGATTGAATCGGATCGCGGTGTAGAAGATGTCAGAGAAGAAATATCATTTAATTTCATCAGAGAGGCCTGCATGTGACACTTATTACTGCTTTCAGAAGATTGTATAGAGCTTCTACAGTGTTTTGAGCTCACTGTTGATCTTCTTGTAGATCTCTTTGAGATCTCTGTGAACATCTGCTTTACTAACTGTGCTTCATGATATTTAGCAGCATGTTCTTTCTTCTCTTTTTACAGTTGAAGCTTCTATTCATCTCACTGTTACTTCTCTATAAGATGTTTAGCTGCAGCTGCAGCTTTGATCTTCTCATGATATTGAGCAGCTTCTAATTGTTGCTTCTCACATTGTTTCTTTCACTTCATGAGCTCTATCTGCTTTTGCTCACAAAGAATTACTTGTTAAAGCTTCATATCCTTCTTGTGTGCCTGGTCATTGATTTTTGCAGCTTTGTTAGCATCTGCTTGCTCTCTCACAGTCTGCACCTTGATGAGAGAAAAGAATTGAGCAAGTGAGAGATTTGATGAATTAAGCAATCTCATACATTTACTCTGTTTGTGTTGTTTTCTCTCATTATTTAGAGCAGTCTGAAGATTTCTATTCTCTATTAAGAGAATCTCTCTGTTCAGAGCAATATTCTCCCCAGCATGAAGAATTTTTTTAATATCAACTGAAAGTTGGCAG